AAGCTTCCAGGATGGGAAGCGAAACGTCCTCAAACTTGGAAACAAAGTCCAGTGGATTTTTTTCCCGAATCATCCCACAAAGCGTTTCAATGCACACATTCATAGAAAAGCTGCTCAGTCGACCTGAATTCACCATGAAGGAATAAACAACTGTTTTCATCAATGGCAAATGGAAGTCTAAGGACTTCCTTAAAGGGATAAACACCTGTTAAGATTTTAAAGTGGACTTTCTTGGGTTTTGGAGGAATGAGAAGATTTAAATTATTTGTTCTAATTTTCATCCTCTCAGCCTTTGAAAAAAAATACGATATAAAATTTGGATTTCATACAAAGGACACAAATAACTAGCAAAACATTCCCTAATGTTTAGTTTATTATCTGTCCTACTGAGCCCATTAATCAGACGTCCAGGCAGCACAGGGCTTCTGTAAACAGGGTTCTCATAAAAACATTTATATGTGCATAAAATATCTGGGGAATATCTTTAATCATTATTTGAAATTCACTTTTAGTTATTTGCAGGTTACATTTAATACTGAAGTCTTCATAAGATATAATCCCTCCATTATTTAATAAAAGCATCACAGATGCCAATTATATGCAAAGATTGAATTATGGTTCATTTTTAATTCCATACGGCGGTATAGTGTGGGCTGTAGTTATGTTTATAGATTCTGCCCTATTCTTAGTAGGTTTGGGAAAAATCAAATCTGAAGGGGCATTTCATATGACTGTCCTCTAGATGTCGCCAAATTTCTCCTTATGTCTGATCTACATTCATAAAGGGTTCATTCTAGAGAAACATCAGTTTTTCTGTTTCCAGAAATATCACTTTTTAATTATTTTTATGCTAAAATACATTTTAATTGTCCTTTCAAACTATTTTCCACTATCAGCAAGTTAGAATTTTATTTTTATTAAACTCTTTAAAGCCCTAATCAACGGATGTGACGTCCCCATGGTCGTTTATTGAGGGAAAGAGCTTTATTTGGAGTTCAAAAATATATTTTTCCACATTTGATAATGTAAAAAACAGCTATCAGATAAATGATGTTAATAACAATAACATGTTTAATACTTTGAAAAATATAAGGTATTTTGCTTTGTTCTTGCCTGTTTTCCAGTTGTGAATCTGTGACCCTGTCTTTGCAGGAGGCAAGTATTTAAGGCAAGTAGGTCCTCCAGATAATGCTAGCTCACCTCCATTATCTAAACATGTTTTTCTTTCTGTAGGTCATTCAGTCCTTTATCTCATTAATAGCAGTTTTCAGGTGTAATTCCTGAACATTTGAACCATGAGGTTCTACTGAGGGAACCTATCCCAGATCCTGCTGCTCTACAGAACTATAGGCCTATCTCTAAACTGCATTTCTTTTCAAACTGCATACCAGTAGTGTTCTTTGACAAACATGGATGCCTCCAGTAAAGCACATTCAAATGAAAATTACTCCTAATTAAAAACACTGATCATTTGTTGAACAGTTTGTAATAATTTCATATTTGAAGTATTTTCTGAACTTTTCCTTTAAAGGCGTTTGAACACTTTAAAGAACAAACGCATGAATAGTTTTATCCTGACTTCATCCCCTGGAAGGACATCAGTTCCTCTGAAGGAGACGCTGCGATGATGATGGAGTCAGAAAACGGAGACAGAGCTGAGGATTCATTCCCTCTGTTTATTGGTTCGACCGAACAGCAAACCATAATCATACAAATCCTCTGGCGTCTGAAGAAGTCTACAAACTTCGTTAAAACAACCGGCCTGATAAAAGGACCAAAGTTAAGCTCTAATAAAGAATAATACAGGAGAATACAGAGCCAACACATTCACTCCCATGTTTACTCTTCAGCATCACAGTAACCTCTCAGTAGATTGTTTGAGGAGCAGAAGAAGCATCTCCCTTTGCCTCCTGTAGGTCCGACTGAGACCGTCTCACTGGAAGATGGAGAAGAAGAAGCCAGTCATCATGGTTCTGCTTTAAAGCTTCAGGTGAACATTTCCAACAGTTTTATAGATTATATCGGAGCCTTCAACTGGATTTCTGGGTCTGAAGATTCCAGTTTAGCATCTCCATCTGTTGATTAATCCAGGCACTCCCAGCACGGTTGGGATTTGGCGTTAAAAAGAGACCTGTGGTGGCGGCTCGTTATGATCACCTGCAGCTTGCTCTGCTTTGGTCTTTCTCTGTGGGCGGGTGGAAGGAGGTCGACCACCTGAAGCTCTGACCCCAAAGCCTGCCGCTGCGACTCAGAGGGACGGTTAAACCATACTGCGGGTCAATCCGGCCGGCGGCAGACCTTCTTCTTAAAGGGTTCAGTCTTTATAAAACTGGCTTTCATGCAGTTAATGAGGATTAAAGGGATTCTGTTTCCAATAATATCATGTGCGAAACTATTAAAAAGCTGCTGGTGTGGATGAGGGGCGAAATGAAGCACCTGTGAAGAAAATGACATCATGTTTCTGATGAACTTTGAACCGAACTGACTGGATGATGAGATGAAGTAAACTGGATGAAGAGCTGTGATGAAGATGATCTGAAATGCTTCTGATGGATGTAAAGGGCTGGTTATCGTCCCGCAGCAGCGTGTCGCAGTTAGCATGTCGCAGGTATGATGCAGACATTTTTGATTTATGCCCAATTTTGAAGCAGGGTCAAAGCATCAACGCCAGAGAGCCAATCAGGAACTAGCTAGGATTGATGGTGTCTGTGTGTTTGACGAGCTTATTCGCCGTCTACAACCCCTCATCCAACGCAGGACGACTGTTCCCCAAAGACCGGCCGTGGTGCTGCAGGTTTGGCTTCAGGTGCAGACCAACAGACCGTCGCTCTGAGCTAGCGTCCTGCACGGTGTCTGGGATAGCGTCCGAGGCGCGCCGGGCGTCGTGGACGGCGCTGCAGCCAGAGTTTCTGCCATTAGGAACCAAACAGGAAATAGGCATAGATTAGAGCGGATGTAGATTTGACCAATCAGAGGCCTCCTGTCTGCGCTCACCTACAGTTTTAGAGAGGTGCACCACAGTGGGGGGGCATGTCTGCGTTAACTGCGACCACGCACGCAGACGGCCTGGTTTCTGAGGATAAACCAGGCTTTAAGGCTTCAGCAGAGAGAGAATCTTTTCCTTTGGTTCATCTAAGCTCAGAAGGCCGTAGAGGACTTTTCATTTATTCTTCTCCAGCTGTGATGAGCAACATTTTTCCAACCCTTCCAGATGTGGGCGTGGTCTCCCCCAGGTTTCCTGTCATGGTCTTGTGATGTTCGCTGCTGCATCTGAAGGTCAGCGTGAGAGGAACATCAGGAATGTCTCAGGCGCCATAGCAACAGGATTTATATGTTATAATTTAAATGCTTCATTTATTTATTGTGGTTTTTTTTAACCTGATTAAAAAAAAAAACACGCAACTTTTTGGATTGAAGAAAAGAGGAGTTAGTAAAAGATACTTTTATTAAAATGTGTGTTTTAGAATCTTAACGCAACGCAGTGTATCTTTTAACCACTAGGGGCGCTAGATCTCTAACTTTACCGGTTTAGAGATGGGATTTAGAGCTTTTGGAGACCAACTGGATCCTGGCAGGGGCGGAGCTAGATGGGGGGCCAGGGGTGGCCATTGCCCTGGTCTCTAATACAGACGGTGGCAGCAGTAATACTCTCAAGGGGAATGTTCTTATTAGACATTTACGTTTTTCATATATTAACAATTACTTTAC